AAGTTAGCCTGTATGCCCTCCGCTTTGAATTTATTCCCCTACGTTGATGAGTCGATTTGACTTTCCTCCTCGGAAGCATTCCTATTCTCTTAACTCACCTCTTATGCATCCGCCAACCCCAGTTCTTTGAACCGATTCCATATCCGAAATTCATCCACAAATCCATCTTCAGGACTCTAGTCAAGTCCAAACTTCTACATCCGGGTGCATTCTGTTCATTTATCTCTTCTTGAGCTAGTATTCCACTTACCAATTGTGATACCGTTTGCACTCTATTCATCTCACATCTATTCGGCTTAATTTCAACCCGTCCTTGCTAAGTACTGTTTGGAAGAATGGTCAACGTACAATCAGCTGAAAGAACTCCTCAATTTATTCACGATTGTTAACATCTCCATTTTTTTCACCAGAAGTAGCACCGACTTCTTTAATTTGGTGCCTTGAAAATAGATCGTTACGCAGCACTAACAGACTTTGGTGTAAATTAACCAATGCAGATCGTCATTCGCCAAAGATTGTGTTAAACCATCACAGATCCTAAGTTGATCAGCGCCTTAGTGATTAAATGAGTCTAACATTTCATGAATTGCTCATTTGTGCACCCTTTCCGCTCCTTCAATGCGACTTAAATCCGACCGCCTATCATTTATTTTTATTCGATCTCATCTTTGCTTTATCAGCCATGCTCAAAGTGGGAGGAAGTGAATCCTCACAAACTTGCAATTCCATAGGTGAAGTGAACCTCCAAGCACAATATTAGTAACATTCTAATAGTAATCAAGGCAAGATTAAAATCAGTGAGCATAAATATGTACAAAAGAGAGAGTGGGAGTAGCAAGGACTCAGTTTTGACGTGTCGTGACGTGGCGACGGTAAAGAGGAAGAGGAGGTGGTGGACTTTCGCATCGTTCAAAGGTAGTATTCGCTCCGACAGCGGTGCCAGAAGTAGCTGTGGCAGGATCGCGGTAAGCGGGGCGATCCCACTCCTCGCAAAAGACTTGCAGACGCCCATGGATGCTGGCAAAGGAAGGACGTGCAGCCTCGTCAGCAGCCCAACACTCTAGCATGAGGTCATAGAGCTCTGCTGGGCACCCTGGTGGGGCCGGCATTCGGTATCCAGCCTCTACTTGGCGCAATACTTCGGCATTGTGCATCCCAGGATAGGGGACTCTCCCGTAGGTCACTATCTCTGTCAAGAGGATGCCGAATGACCAGACGTCAGAAGCAGTGGTAAAACGGGAGTAGTTTGCTGCCTCCGGTGCTGTCCATTTGATTGGGAAACGTGCGCCCGCGTGGGCTACGTATTCTTGATTCTACAAAACAATCGGATGCCACTATAATAAAGGTCATATGCCAAAAGTCTGTATTTATTAATCAACTGAGCTTTGGTCACCTCATTGGGATAAAACATCGAAAATGACTAAAAAAAAGGGGTTTTTTTGTCTTTTTTCATGAGATCAGATCGAATTGTCTTCTAATGACAGAAGACCGCTTCTTAGTCTGACAGTTCCCTTGCAGCAGTCTTATTTACTACAACTGACCTGTCATAAAACATAAGAGCAGGATAATGGTATTTTGATGCTATACTAGTGTGAAGGTTGTATGCCGAGACGACACAGTGGACTTGAAAGCCAGTCCCAATTTGATCGCAACCTTCATCAGGTAATTTAGGCTTGGAGGTCTAATTCGGTCAGCGTCATTGCAAGGTGTGAATTAAAATGGTTGCAGAGTTTAAATGGGTGTTTGGCTATCTTCACCGAGTCAAATTCCACGTCAGAAAACGTCTTAAAGTTTAAAAACTTCATGATGAACTCTAAGAGCAATAACTGTTATCTCATAAAAAAACGTTCAAAGAGTCCCATCGCACCAACGGTAACAAATTAGAGTGACAGATACGAATCACTGTAAACGGCAGAGAACCGGCATAAGTTCGGTAGCTACAACCACCACATTGCTATGATTTCAGATCTCCGGGT